GCTTTTCCCACCCCAGGGCTGTCACTCAGTGGAGCTCCCTTCTTGTAATGTACTCCAGTGATGATGTGAGATTAATGGAAAGACTAAATAAAATAAAGACTAAAATAAAATCTTGTCAGGCAGTGGTGGCACATGCCTTTAATCCCAGCACTTAGGAGATAGAGACAGACAGATCTCTGTGAATTCAAGGTCAACTTGATCTAAGAAACCAAGTCTCAAAAAACAAACATGAACAAACAAGCAAATGAATAATAAAAAGGAAGAGCATTAGGAGTCCATTTAGGAGGCTGAAAGATATTCAATATACTTAGTATTAAGCACTTTTGTCTCCGTGGGTATGAGTGCCAGAGAAATACTCTGGGGTTATTTCTTTTATTTTTATTTTCTTTTATTTATTTATTTAATTTTTTTTTTTTGAAACAGGGTCTCTCTACATAGCCTTGGCTGTCCTGGAACTCAGTATGTAGACTATGCTGGCCTTGAACTCACAGAGATCCTCCTGCCTCCTGCTGGGACTAAAAGTGTGCACTACCATACCTGTTTGGGTTTTTTTTTTTTTTTTTTTTTTTTTTTTTTTTTTGAGACAAGGTTTCTGTGTTGCCTTGACTATCCTGGAACTCACTATGTAGACCAGGCTGGCCTCAAACTTGGAAATCCACCAGCCTTACTGCCTGAATGCTAGGATTAAAGGTGTGTGCCACCACCACCTGGCCATGGTTGGGATGCTGTTTTCTTTGCTTCTTTGTTTTTCTTTTTCTTTTTTCTTTTTCTTTTTTTCATCACCTGATTTATCTGGAAATCCCATTTTAGCTTTCAGGGAGTTTCTTTTTTAAATATTTTTTTCTTACTTTACATATTGATCCAAGTTCTTTCTCCCTCCCATCTTCCCATGCACCCCCACCCCGTCCCATCCCCCATCCAGAGATGCTGTTTTCACCTGAGGCCCCAACTGAGTTATTCTGCCTCAAGTCATGCCATCCAAGGACACCATAAGACATGACGGGAAAACTTACTTTTCTGGAGCCGCAGAAGCCACATCCCGGTCATACAGTCTGGCCTGCCAGGGAAACAGGACGACCCCTCGGTAGCCAAAAACGCTATGAAGAAACAGCTAGGAAGAGAGAAAGACCTCACTGAGCCTGTTGTCCAGCAAATCCATCCAGGTGAGACCTGACCATGAAGCAGCATGGGTGCAGGCAACTGTGGCACAATCTTACCAGCTTTCCCTTCAAACTCTGTACTTAACTCAAACAACTACAGTATGTATGCTCATGACTCATCACTAAGCTGACCCCATTTACCCTTCAAGGTACTTTGTTTGACCTTTAGGGAACTTACCTTGGCCTGCCCTCCTCTTATCCAGTATGGACCCACTGATTGTATTTCTTTGTCTTTTTTAAAGATTTATTTTACTTTTAATTATGTGTATGTATCTGTATGTGAGTATGTACATATGAGTGCAGGAACCCAAGGAAGCCAGAGGCATTGAACTCCCTGGAGCAGTAGCTATAGGCAGGTCCTCTGGAAAAACAGTAAGTACTCTTAACTGCTAGTCCATCTCTCTAGCCCCTTCTGACCATATTTCTATCATTTTCTTGGAGCTATAAATTCCAGGACAGAAAAAAATACTAATGCATACCACCTGATAAATTTTAGGCATACAAATAAATAAACAGCTTCCACTACTTACAACAGACCTTTTGTTTCAAAGGCTTTTGAATTTTTGATTGCCAGTCTGGCTTCAGTCTTGCTAGGTAGCTAACAATGACCTCCCAGCCCTGATGCTCCCACCTCCACTTCCCAAGTGTTAGGGTTATAGCAGTATGCCACTACATCCAGTTTATGTAGCAGGAGAACGGAAACCAGGGCTTCAAGCATGCCAGGCACTCTAGCAACTAAACAACATCCCTGACCTGATTTGTATTTTTAACAAAAACCTTTTTAAATAATAATAATAGTAATAATAATAACTACTATTATTTGGGGAAGGTGTAAATGGGTACAAGTGCCATGGTGTGTGGAGGTCAAAGGATGATTCTGTGGAATCAGTTCTCTCCTCCTCTAGGCCTCCTCAGCAAGTGCCTTTACCAGTTGAGCCATATCATTGGCCTCTTATTGAATTTTCAAATAGTATCACTATATTAGGCCTCAAAATTGAAGTGTTTCCTCTCCTCCTGCTTCTGGAGCAATGGGATTAGCTGCTACTGTACATCTGTCTCCAGAAATCTCATCTTAAGAAATCTGTGAACCTAATGCACACATGGTATGCACATGCACTAATACACAGGCATGTACACTAAATAAATAAATAAATGTAAAATATCTTTTGGGCCAGTTGGATGATTCACTGGATAAAGCTCCAAACCTAATGACCCGAGTTTGATCCAAGGCCCACATGGTGGGAGGAGAGAACCAGTTTTCACAAGTTGTCCTTCACTCTCCATGTAATGATGCATTCTCTCTATGTCTCTCTCTAGATGAATCATTATAATGTAAAAACATTTTTATCTATTTATTTATTTTGGTTTTTTGAAACAGGGTTTCTCTGTAGCTTTGGAGCCTATCCTGGCACTCTCTCTATAGTCCAAGGGCTGGCCTTGAACTCACAGAGATCCACCTGCCTCTGCCTCCTGAGTGCTGATTGAAGTTGTGCACTAACACTGCCTAGCTCATTTTGATTCTGAGCTCAGCATCTGCAACCTCGGGGTTCTGTAAATTAAGATAGGACTGCAAGTTCAAGATCAGCCTGGGTTATAGAATAACGACCTTCAAAACAAAAACAAAACTTATGATCTTGGTCTAACACCAAACACGAAGATGTACAACACCCATCTCTAGTACTATGGGGAAGGGGACAAGAAAAGAAAATACCACTGAGATTCAGTATTGTGACACAATTTGGCTCCACTCAGAAATACAATATTCCATGAAAATGAGAGCTGACCCAGCATAATACCTACCTGCCCAGTCTCATATTTTCCATTTTGTTTTGGCACCTCAAACACACCAACTGTCTCCAACACTTTGCCCTCAGCACGGTTTCTAGTTGGGAAAGAATAAGCAAGTGAAATGCTGAAAAGGTAACAGTCCTTCATCAAAAAAAAAAAACTAACAAAAAACCCCTATCACACTGAGGTGCCAGGGCACAGAAGGGCCAGGGCAATGACAGCAAAGGCCAAGGATGCTGCTTTTATTCCTTTACAACCCTGCCAAAGGCCTCTATTTGGTGAAGACTTCCCCAGTCTCCCAGTATTAGATCTAACTACTCCAAATTTACTCCCTCCTATCTTTACTTGGCATTTCCAAGGTCATGCCTGCAAATCCTATTTAAATGTACATCTTCACCTACGCCTCCGGCCTCCCACAGCATTTTAACTGTTCGTCCAGTTCTGCACTTCAGTTACTGGTGTCCATGAGAGACTATTCGTTCCCTGAGAGCAATGCCTAGTATGTAAGAGGTGCTCAAAAAACATTTATTCTGGGGCAAGCAGCTCTTCTGTTTCTGCTCTTACCCATCGCTTCCTTGCAGTGTCCTTAAACCTGTCATTTGCTACTTTGAAAATTGTTCTGAATAGAACATGGTTCCACAAGTCTGTGATCTCAGGGCTCTTGAGGCTGAGGCTGGAAAATCACAAGTTCTGGGTCAACCTGGCTACACAGTATGACTCTCCCAATTCTACACATCATCTATCTACCCTCTAAACTACAAGACTTCACTATGACCTCAAGATTTAACATCTCTAGATTCCCAAAGGAACAGCACACAGTATACTGCAGTCTCTTTACATTCCCCCCCCACAAGAATTATTTAAGTCTTACATAGCAAATACCTCTCTCAGCCACTATCAGGTCAGTCCTATCAATTACCTTTTTTTTTCATCATTAGTTATTATTATTATTACCTATACCTTTAAATTATAGGTTAGAACCAACCTCACCATACCATAATCCTTTTGTGCTGTTTTATAATCCTTCTTGTATGGATCAAAACTCATACTGAACAATGAGTTCTGAGTTGCAAAAGAGGATTTATTTTTGTACCTGTCAATTACCTTTTTAAATAGGATTCATTTTTCTATGGACCCGTCAAAGCACTGTGATTTTCTTTTGAAAATGTTCACTTCATACCCAACTCGATCAAATCCTGTCTGGTCCCTAAAATGCTTTGTTTACACCATCCCCAAGCCTGGAACCCTCTTTCAAACCAAGTCACATAGGCAAAATCATTCTCCCCAAGGTCACATGGAAACCCAGGACCCACAAAGGTAGACACTTAAATCGACTTGTTTCCCACTTAATAGCATCTTTCTGAGAGAAGCCATGACCCTATAGGGACCGAGGGTCAAAGTCAAAATCCCTGTAGCTGTACTAAATGGCAGCCCACTACAGGTGCTGGGAAGCCCAGCAAGGGAGGCAGATTCGCTGAAGAAGCGTTACTTGTTCTCCCTCGGAGCTGCCCGGAGCTGCCCTGCACTGCCGGGGCCCGTGCTCCCCCGTCTGCTCCTGGCACATGTCCCAAGCAGCGCATGTCGGCTCCCTACTGGACCCTTTCTCAGGTGACACTCCTGTTGCCCACAGACAGTCAGGCCCCCTGGCCTCCTTAGTGGCTAGGTACATGATTCCCAAATTCTGGGCCCGGCTCCCTGGCCCCCTGGCTCCGTCCCTCACCGGGACGACAGATGCCTTCGCGTCGTCGCTGTAGCCACCAGCGGAAGGGCCCCTGCTCCACCGACCGCACACAGCGGCCTCGACCCTCGGGCCGTGGCCAGCGACCGTGACCACCAGCGGCTGCCCACGGCCAGGGCCCGTCGGGCCACACAGCCTGCCATGTCCCGCCCGAGCGCCCGCTCGGCTGCTGACACAGGGCCCGACCCGCGGCGGGGCGGCGTCCCGCCCCCGCCCCACACTGCCCCGCGCCTAGGCCCCGCCCCTTGCTCTAAGGCCCGCCCCCCGCGCCCGCGCGGGATCCTCCAGCTAGCAACATCCGGCGCAGGTGAGCGGAAGTCCCAGTCTGGGATCACCTGACCAGAACGTGAATTAGAAATGGCGTCTTCCTTGCTTGGTGGTGAACGACTGGTTCGCGCTTTGGGCCCTGGCGGAGAACTGGAACGGGAGCAGCTGCCCCGGAAGCTGCGTTCCCAACTCGAGGCTGCTCTGGAGAAGAAACGCACGAGCAGTGATAGCGCCACGGGCCCCCTTCGCCTGATTCCCTTCCGTCTGATCCGAGAACTACATCAGCACCTGAGAGAAAGAAGTGAGCGTTCCCCAATCAAGAGTCGCCGCCTCATTTTCACAGCTAGTCCCTCCTGAGGCCTTTTTACCCCCTATCACTCTCGCGTGCCTGCCAAGTTGTCATTTAATCAGTCTAAAACCCTCTTCATAAACCCCAGGTTCACCACTACCATCTTAAGTTCCGTGGGAATTCTTCGTATGTGACAAAACGTGTTTGTGCAGATTTTGTTGAGTGTCCTCTTTTAGGTCCACCTAAGATCACCTGACTTTAAGGAATTCGGGATTCTAGCCCGGTATTATCTACCATGTTGAGCTTCTCCATTTTAGGGACATTTAATGTAGCGACTTCTGTTTGGGAATAGTTATTTTCCTTACATGTCAAAGGCAAGCGTAGAGAATTCTGATCCCCGCCCCAGACCCTGTTTAGGGGTGAGGGTAGGGAAATAGAATAACAAAAAAAAAAAAAAAAAAAAAAAAAAAAAAACAGGAGAAAAGAAATAAAAAAGCAACTAACTAGTTCTATTTACATCTAGTTCTAGTCCTTTCAAAGAAGTCATTTCTCCTCTTTGAACCTGTTTCCTTATCTATTGAGGAAGGGAATAGGATAAACTGGCATGTAACATGCATTGTCACAGTTAACATATTCTAGCCAGAAGTGCAAAGAGTAGATATTCAACTATTAGGACTTGAGGGCCTTAGAAAAAGATCCTCTATCTAATACAGTGTCCTCTGAGTGTTTAGCATCACAACGACCCAATCCTATCTTGGACAGATTAATTATTTCCACAGAAATAACCTCCCATTGGCAGGGTAATTGAAGACTGACAGTCACCTATGTAGCACTAGGAACTATTTAGATGGAAGTGTCCTAAATAATTCTTGGTTGAAAATAATTTTGAGTAAAAAGAAAACTGAATGAATAAAAAGAGAGAAAGAAAATGATGACATGGTGACAAAGCTAGTCGTGGCACAGACCTGATATCCTAGCACTTGGGCTGAGGCTGGAGGATTGTAAGTTTAGGTCTAGATGAGGGTACATAAGACCCTGTCCAAAAAGAAAAAAAGGTGGCTGGGTGTGGTGGTGCATTCAAGAGTCAGGTTAGCCTGGTTTATACAAGAATATATACATATATGTGTGTGTGTGTGTGTGTGTGTGTGTGTGTGTAATATATATGTATGTATGTATGTATGTATGTGGGAATATATGTCCTAGGGATGGGTTAACAGGGATGGCCATATTTTATTTGGGTAAAAATTAGGGCTACCCCCTCCTATGATCTTAGTCTTCCCTCCTCAGCATCATAGGTTATTATGTGGAACTTTTTTCTTCCCAGATTCCAGCCTATATCTTCATGAACTCCTCAAAGGCAGTGAAATCTACCTTCCAGAGGTTGTGAAACCTCCTCGGGTATGTAAGGGATATATTTGTGAGAGTAGGTACGTGCTGAGTTGGGTGTGGATCTTATTAATCAACTTTCAGGTTTGAAATCATATATTTTAATTATTTGGAATAGCTGGAAGGTGACTTAATGGAAGAGTACTTGACAAGTTTAATGCCTAGCACCAAAAAAAAAAAAAAAAAAAGAATAAATAAAATTTAGGGGACAGTGAGATAGCATAAAGAGTTGGGGGAACTTGCTACCAGGTGTGGCAGCCTGGCTTCAATCCTAAGGACCCACATGGTGGAGGGAAAGAGGTAACTCCTAAAGGTTGTCCTTTACCTCCACATATGCATGGCTTGTGTGTGCACATGTACAAAGGATGAAAAAATTGGGGGAATGGGTGGTGATGATGGTGGTGCACATCTTAAATCCCAGCACTCTGGAGGTAGAGGTGGGCAGATTTCTGAATTCTACAGAGTGAGTTTCAGTGTGTAGCCAGACTACACAGATAAAAATCCCTGCCTTGAAAAAAATAAAATGACACTGTGCATTTGAGTGAGTGCTGTGAGACTGTACATGTGAGTGCACTCATCTTTGGAATCTAAAGTCAGGGAAGGAAGTCTAACAACATTGGAAAACTGAGGCCCAGTAACCCATTTTTCAAAGCAGTGGAGGTAAAATCAGTATGCACATGTTCCAGCTCCCCTTGCAGTACATTGCACTTTGGAATCAATGATTAGGACATATTCTGTAGCAAGAAATATATAGAAGAATGTCATTCTTCTCATGTGGTTGTTTTCGCTTTAGAATCCAGAGCTAGTTGCCCGACTAGAGAAGATTAAGATCCAACTAGCCAATGAAGAATACAAGAGGATCACTCGAAATGTCACTTGTCAGGTAAGGGCCTACTCCTTGGTATATGACTTGTATCAGAGTTTTAATTTTAAAAACAAAAGTAGCAGAGTATAGTGGCGCAAACCTTTAATTCCAGTACTCCTGATTCAGGGGCAAGTGGCTGAGTGTGAAGCCAGCCAGAACTATATAGTGAGATCCTATGTCAACAAAAAAGAAAAAAGAAAAGAAAAAAGAAAAACATGGGAAATCAAACTCAATTTATATACTGTTCTAGAACCATAAGGCCTCTGTGTTTTGCCAGGCTGCACATTGGTGCATGCCTTTAATCCCAGCCAGGGCTATTACACAGAAAAACCCTGGAAACCCTGTCTCTAAAACAAAAACAAGCAAAAAAAAAAAAAAACCTCTGTGTTCTATCCAAATTAAACATAATCTGCAGTGTGTTCTCTGAGACTCTGGGCTGAGATGATAACTGATTTTTTTGTTTGTTTGGTTGGTTGGTTTTCAAGAAAGTTTCTCTGTGTAGCCTTGGCTGTCCTGGAACTTACTCTGTAGACCAAGCTGGCCTCAAACTCACAGAGATCCACCTGCCTCTGCCTCCCCAGAGCTGGGACTAAAGGCACCACCACAGCCCGGCCTGATGGTAACCGATTCTTAAAAATCACAGAGTGGAGGTGAGCCTTGGAGCTTTTTCTTTATTCAGGGAAAGATCTCTGTGGCCCAGACAGATCATGGATTCTCGATCCTCTTATCCAGTCTCCCCAATGTTGGGATTACAGGTGCACCTGAAGCCTTTTTTTTCCTGACTGGACTCCTTTGGCATGTTTCTGCTATAAAGTAGGGAAGCGGAAGAGTCCTAGGAGCTTAGATCCTCCTCTTTATCATCTAGAAAGCATCATACAAGTCCAGGCAAAAGAATCCTTGGAGAGGGCAGAATTAATCTGTTGAGGAGTAGAAAGGGCTGATGCCAGACTGGCAAAGAGACATTTCTGAACTGTTTTCATTCTGAAACCATTTGGATTTTGTTTTGTTTTCCCAGGATGCACAGCGTGGGGGAACTTTCAGTGACCTGGGAAAACAAGGTGAGGTACCAGGAATCAAGGCTGCTCAAGCCCATGTTTGGGACTGATCATAGCATTTCTTCCTACTGTACTATTCTTGGATCAAGGCTAAGATATTCAGTCTTGGTCTCTGAGAAAAACCTAATAAATGGTGGAGGCAGCTATGAGGTAATAAGGTCTACCTGAGAATGCTAACCTAAATGTTTCTTCTCTGAACTGCTTTCCAAAGTGAGATCAGTGAAGGCTCTGGTCGTTACCATCTTCAACTTTATTGTCACAGTGGCAGCTGCCTTTGTCTGCACTTACCTAGGAAGCCAGTATATCTTCACAGAAATGGCCTCGGTGAGTGGGCACTGAGCAGGACAAAGTGTCCTTTGTTGGGGTTGATGGGAAAAGGGGAATGTGTGTGAAAATTCACAGGTTATCAATTGCGTATATTTATGCAATAAACAGGGGACACATTTAGCTTTCCAGTAGTCATGGGAGTGAGTAGTAATCCCAAGAGCTACCTTTCCCCAACAACTTAAAGGAAGAGGTTCTCAACCTTCTTAATGCTGAGATCTTTTGTAATGACCCACAACCAAAAATTATTTTCATTGCTATTTCATATCTATCATGTTGCTACTGTTATGAATCATAATGTAAATATTTGATGTGCAAAATATCTGATATGCAACCCCCAAAGGGGGTCTCAGCTGACAGGTTGAGAACTGCTGACTTAAGGACTGGAGTAGAGATCTCCATCCTTAATAGAGGTACTGAAGGCTGCAGATTTTAGTGTTGACCTGCATCTTCTACACTTGGCTCTTCCCATTGGCAGAGAGTGCTGGCTGCATTGATCGTCGCCTCAGTGGTAGGTTTGGCAGAGCTGTACATCATGGTGAGGGCGATGGAAGGTGAACTGGGTGAGCTGTAACTGGTGCTTCACCATCAAAGTTTGGAAGAAGGTTGGGGAGCCCCAGACTCTATTGCCCTTCACTGACTCTCTGTCAACCATGAAGCTCTTTGGACTCAGCTCCAGTTAGTCAGAGGACCAGGTCAAGTTCTTTGGACAGCCATGTTTGCTGTCAATCTCCTCGGAGAAGAATAGAAGAAATTCAGACAGCAATGTTTCTTTAAAACTGAAAGAACTGGTCTCAGTAGCTGCTCCTGAATCCATCGCACATTTGCATTCTAGAGTCTGCTGAGTCTGGGCTGTATTGCCTTAAACTGGCCCAAGTTCATAAATCAGTTACCATCTTTCATCCCTGTATCTTGGCACAAGACGTGTAACTGAGAGCAGAAGATCCTAAGGAAGCAGAACACATGAACCTGAGAAGAACTAGTTAGAAAACAGGCATCAAGTAAGAGAAAAACTGGTTGATATAAGATGGTGGAACTAGAATCCAGGCGGCTAACTTTTTCTAGAAAAGGACATGGTATCTATGGTCCTTCTGTTAAATGGAGCCAAAGATGTCTATATTGTCCTTCTCTGTGTTGTTATACTTTTCCGAACATAGATAAGTCAGAGAATCTGTTTAAGGCACTTAAAAAAATGTTATTTATCCAATAAATGATTTTTGTGTTCAGTGTATTTTTATTTTAGGTAATTTAAGTAATTCTAAGAATCCCACAATATCTGCCCTTCTGTTTGTGACAGGGTCTTGCTATATGGCTCTGGCTGACCTTGAACTCATAGCAGTCCTTCACCTCTTCCTCCTGAGTCCTAGGATTCAGGCATATGCCATCATGACAGGTATTTGAAGTCTACTTGGCATGCCAGATTTCCTTCCTTCCTTTCATGTGTATGCATCCATATATGCATGCAGGAGCCTGTGGGGATGAGAAGAGGAGCTAGAATTAAGCGACTCTGTGGGTACTGGGAACTGAACCTCCATTCTTTGCAAGAGCTATAAACCACTGAACCATCACTCAGGTGCCCAAGCCTCTCTGTTCTTTTTTTTTTTTTTTTTTTTTTTTTTTAATAATATGGAATGCTTCACGAATTTGCATGTCATCCTTGCTCAGGGGCCATGCTAATCTTCTCTGTATCATTCCAATTTTAGTATATGTGCTCCAATAGTGGTTTTCTCCTCAAGTTTTTTAAAATTTATTTTCCATGTGAATATGTCACGAGTATAGGTCCGCATGTACGGAGAGTTTTCATGTGGGTCTCTTGTTTATGTTATTGCACTGCATACTCCAGGCTACCTTTTCCTATCTCTTCTTTCTAGAAGTGCTAGGATTATAGGTAAACAGCATCATCCAACTCTGTGGATTCTGCTCATCAGGCTTGGACTGCAGATGCTTTTATCTACTGAGCCATCTTTCTGGATCATCTGTGTTTTTCCAAGCTTGTCTCATATTCTTACTAGATCAGTAGACATTTTGTCAATTGTGTTTACCACTGCCTGTTAGTAGGGAGAAGTATCAACTGAAGGAAAACAAAAGTGGCATTTTCAGTGTTTCTGATATCTGGGACTGTTAAAAGTTGGGTCATAGAGTATGGGGATGGAGGGATGATGGTAACAACAGGACTCTATGGTTTGGTTCTCTAGAACCAGGCTGCCTAGAAATCCTTAAGTACCTGAATCTAAGCTGAAAGCCTACCAAATGTTAGAGGTTTGACTTAAGCAGAATCTCGTCCAACAGACTTTGACCAGCCTAGGATATCTCACAGTAAACTTGAGGTCCTTTGTTGAGAGAAATTCTCCACTAGATCCCAGTTCCTCCACACAGGCCAATAAACTTCAGTGGCATCAAGCTCTTACAAACAGTAGTTTTCTGGGCCAGGCACCATGCTAAATCTGGAGATAATAAAGATAAGAGCTAACACATGCCTTGTGTGTAATAAGAAGCAAGCTTCAAGGACCTTTCCATCTGCACAGGCAGAGAGAGTGTAGGGAATTAGGTGGCCAGGTCACAGCACAGGAAAGAGAACTATCAGCCACATCCTCTCTGCCACATTTTACCCAAAGCACTCAGGATCCAGGAGGTGCTTGGCAGAGGGACAGGAAGTTTGGTCCTTACCAGTTTCTCGTGACTTCCTGTATGGAGTGGAGGGAACTAGCATTTATTGAGTTTTTATCATGTGTCATCACATGAAGTTCTTTACCTAGATTTTTCCCAAGATAGGAAGTGTTTCTATGCCTGCTTTGCAGACAGAATTTCAGAGTTGTAGTCACACAACAGAACTAGGGTTTGAATCCAACACAGACTGATTGCAGACTCCATGCTTTTCTTTCCAAAGCCACTCAGCATTGGAGATAATTAGAACATCCTGGAGTGCAAGCTAGCTTCAGTGTCTCCAGAGCCTGTGAGAACACTGAGCCTTTAATTAACCACTCTAATCCTAGCAGAATTCTGGATATGATTCCTACCGAGAGTCTGTGGCACCTGGCCCTATTTAAGGATTTGGTAGTGGGAGATAAACTTCCCAAGCAGGCAAGCCTCAGTCCCATTCATTTGCAATACAGCAATCCAGATTAAAGAGTTTTGTTTTATTTGCAGATTAGTTGCTATTACAGATGACAGTGATACAAAAACCCAAGGCTACTACACCCCATCCCCCCAGATCTGTCAGGTTGTCCCCACAGCACACATCAGAGGCCAATCTGATCTTTGGGAAAATTCAATCAAACTAAGACCCAGGCTTCTATTTCTGTAAATTTAATATCACTCCCTCTTCAAATCCACAGTTCTGATTAATTTGTCCAGGTGGCAGGAAATCAAGCAATGGGGCCCTGAACCATGAAAGGGTGGGTCTCCCACCGCTCCATCATAGGAGCAGTGCCTACCCCTGGCACATGGGCAAGGTCCTGGCAGGGCCCTCAGACTGGTGGCCACCCCTTCAGAGGAAAGAGATCATCAACTAAGATAATCGGAGTAGGGGACCCAAGCTTGGAAGTATAGGTGGACAACATGGTCCCTTACCTTGACAGTAATCTTGATGAAACAATGCCATATGCCCTAAAAATTACTAGGGTGCTGGGTAGTAGGAGCTAGGCTCTAGTCACTGCACAGGACCTTCAGCTACGGTGCTGGAGGTTGGGAGTGCAGGGATGGGTCTCAGAGCTAAACTCTTGTTTGAGAACACCCCCAATGTAAAAAGAAGCAGGGGTTCTTTTAAGTGCTCCATCCCAGGAGAGACGGAGTAGGCTACAAGAACCAGAGCCAAACTCTTACAAGCTCTACACCTAAATTAGGAGTGATCCAGCCAGGTGATTGTGGTACAAACCTTTAATCCCCGCACTCGGGAGGCAGAGGCAGGCAGATCTCTGTGAGTTCAAGATCAGCCTGGTCCACAAGACCTAGTTCCAGGAGAGCTCCAAGGCTACACAGAGAAACCCTTTATCAAAAAAAAAAAAAAAAAAACCTTAGGAGTGATCTACATTGGTGACAATGGCTGAGGTATAGATAATGTCAGACAGGCTGCCCAGTGAAGTCTGTGAAGCAGTTTGTTCTAAAGAAGAAAAAATCCCTGAAGCCCCACTTGGCCCCCATGGGGCTGCAGCTTTATCCCCTGCCCAACTCTGCACTGGATCCAAGCTGGGAGTTATACAGGAGGTCTGTGGGCATGCTGAAGCATGCTGAGCTGAGCCAGTGGGCTGTAGAGGCTGGTCTGGTGCTCCAGAGGGTTGCTGACGAGTGTCTGGAAGAGAGCAGGAGTTAGGAGAAAGTTCCAGCCTAGGGTTCAGGGCTCCTGGCCTCCTGTTCTTGATTCTCTTGGCCCGGCGGTTCTGGAACCACACCTGATAGGGAAGGTGAAGGGATATATGTTGGCACCAGCACACTCCTGGGACAGAAATCAGAATATGAAGGCAGGATTCCCAGGGAGGAGAAGCGCTGCGTCGAGCCCAGAAGTTAGCTATTGCAGCTCACCTGGATCTTGGCTTCAGGCAGGTGAGTCACCTGGGCCAGGTGCTCACGGGTACTGATGTCAGGATAGGGCCTGGCTGCAAATACCCGTTCCAGCTCCAGCAACTGCCCAACACTGAAGATGGTCCTCTTTCTCCGATGGGGACACAACCCACTGGCACAGCCTGTGGGCCAGAATGGGAATCAAAGGAGCCTTGATCACCCTTGCGGCCCTATGCCCTACATTTCTCACTCCCCACCATCTCACCTCGCGCCCCTTCCTCACCCCCCCCCCCGCCCTTTCCCCACCAGATCACCTGGGGATGCCTCCACAGGACTGGCCATGGAGCTGGCACAGAGAGAGGAGCCAGAGGCCATGCCAGGGCTATTGCCCACACCAGATGCAGGCCTTAAGGTTTTAAGCTGTTCAGAGTGGCTGGCTCCGCCTCCAGAGGGAAGAGGCTTAGCATTCACTCAAGGGAGGTTGAGAAGGGGGAAGCAAGGCAGGATTGGGGCTGGTAGAAGTCTAGGTTGGACCAGATTGATACACAACCCAACTTTTACCAAGAAGCTGGTCACACCTCCTCCTCAAACCTCATCCTTTCTTTGGCAGTCTGCTTCCAGTCCTGTACTGTGTGAAACCCTCCCCCCCAAACCACAGAAATCTGCCTCCCCAAAGCTCCCAGGGCTTCAGCGGCCCCCTAACATCCCTCAGTGCCCTGGTCTTGGCTTCCTTCAGGGGAAAGTAAGTGGATTCCTGTCCCACACTCTGAGGACTGGGCAGTGAAACTGGATGGAATGAGGATGCTGTTGGAGCCACCTACTGTCAGCAGGGCTGAGGAATAGTTGCTACTATCAGCTTGCCCTCAGGGCTGCTATAGAACCCTTTCTGGCTCTTCAAAAAGCCAGAGGCTGGGCGGTGGTGGCACATGCCTTTAATCCCAGCACTTGGAAGGCAGGGGCAGGCAAATCTCTAAGTTCAAGGCCAGCCTGGCCTACAGAGCTAGTTCCAGGACAGCTAGGGCTATACAGAGAAACCCTGCCTTGAAAGAAAAAACAAAACAACACAACAACAAAAATAATTAATTAAAAAAAAAAGAAAAGAAAAAGCCAAAAGTCCAGACAGACTTCCTGAAATCCAGGATCCTGGAGCTAGGGAACATTCCATGGGTGAGCCAGGGGTTCACAACGACTTTCACTTTTACAGCATTTCCTCCTGGGAGGGTCCTCTGAGCTTCTTTACTATGAGAAAGGGGATGTATGTCAATGTTCTTCTCAGACACAGGCCTCAGAGAAAAGGAGTGTGTTGTGGGAGTCTGTCCCTCTGTTGCCTGGGAAACAACTATATTCTCCATTCACAGTAGACAGCAAAGCTGAGTTGAATTCCACCCTCTCGCTCCTCATCTCCTCTGAGGCCCTGGTTAACTCCATGATCAAAGAAGCCTCACCTGGACAGGGTGACTGGGTAACGGCAGTCATCACCACAGGGGCTGGCGTTCCATGTTCGACCATGGAGTGGGGGGGGGTGCGGGGCTAGAGCTTGGGAGTGGGGGTGGACTTGGAAGGGTAGCTCTGACAAGCTCCAGTGTTTCTGGCTTAGGAAGAGCACCCGAGCCCAGTGGGGTCTTCTCTGTCCCTCCTCAATCAGTCCTGAGAGCCCCACTTTTCCTCCTTTGTCCAGGGAAACGGGCTCCCACCCTAATTAGGACAGTAGTCTTAAACTCAGGGCCAACAGACTTTATTGGGCTGGGAGGAAAGAGCTGGAGGATGGGTTTCCCGAGGTGCGGCTGTGTGGGTTGACTCCTACTTTTCAGGGGTTGGGCAGCCCAGCCAATACTGAGCAATGGAGCGT